AAAAACATGAATTTCGACCTAAAAATCAAGAATTTGCACCTAAAAATCATGAATTTCGACCTAAAAATCATGAATTTCGACCTGAATACCGTGGATTTCGACCTAAAAAACATGAATTTCGACCTAAAAATCAAGAATTTGCACCTAAAAATCATGAATTTCGACCTAAAAATCATGAATTTTGGCCTGAAAACCGTGGATTTCGACCTAAAAATCATGAATTTCGACCTGAAAACCGTGGATTTCGACCTAAAAAACATGAATTTCGACCTAAAAATCAAGAATTTGCACCTAAAAATCATGAATTTCGACCTAAAAATCATGAATTTCGACCTGAATACCGTGGATTTCGACCTAAAAAACATGAATTTCGACCTAAAAATCAAGAATTTGCACCTAAAAATCATGAATTTCGACCTAAAAATCATGAATTTCGACCTGAATACCGTGGATTTCGACCTAAAAATCATGAATTTCGACCTGAAAACCGTGGATTTCGACCTAAAAAACATGAATTTCGACCTAAAAATCTAGAATTTGCACCTAAAAAACATGAATTTCGACCTAAAAATCAAGAATTTGCACCTAAAAATCATGAATTTCGACCTAAAAATCATGAATTTTGGCCTGAAAACCGTGGATTTCGACCTAAAAATCATGAATTTCGACCTGAAAACCGTGGATTTCGACCTAAAAAACATGAATTTCGACCTAAAAATCAAGAATTTGCACCTAAAAATCATGAATTTCGACCTAAAAATCATGAATTTCGACCTGAATACCGTGGATTTCGACCTAAAAAACATGAATTTCGACCTAAAAATCAAGAATTTGCACCTAAAAATCATGAATTTCGACCTAAAAATCATGAATTTCGACCTAAAAATCAAGAATTTGCACCTAAAAAACATGAATTTCGACCTGAAAATCATGAATTTCGACCTAAAAATCATGAATTTCGACCTAAAAATCAAGAATTTGCACCTAAAAATCATGAATTTCGACCTAAAAATTCGATTTTTTGACTTGAAAAATTGTGAAAAAGAGCCAAAAATCATGATTTTTCAAGTTAAAACAGTCAAAAATAGGCTAAAACTTAGCTGAAATCACTGAAAACTGACAATTTTTGAGTCATTTTTCATAATTATCGAACAAAAATTGCTGAAAATCGGGGATTTTGTCCCGAAAGTCGAAAATTTTAGACCTGAAAATCGCCTTTTCTATGATTTTTGGACCATTTTTCATGATTTTTGAACGAAGACGGCTTAGAAAAACTGGAAAATCATGGATTTTGACTCTAATTTTTGACATTTTTTTAACCCAAAAACAAGGTAAAATCGTTAAAAAATTGCTCGAAATTGCGGAAAATCATGACAATGAGCTGAAAATCTGAAAGAAAGTGTCCGAAATTCGTCAAAAATGACTCGAAAATTTTGAAAAATGGCCTAAAAATTGTCAAAAATGTCCAAAAATGCACTATTTCCGTTCATTCTTGGCTTGAAATGGCTGAAAATTGCAGCATTTTGAGCCAATTTCATGATTTTTAGACCACTTTTAGACATTTTTGAGTCATTTCCCACTCCATTTAGACAATTTTTAGTCTATTTCAGACAATTTTCGATGATTTTAAGCCTCAAAAATTTCAGATAAACTCTGAAGTCACGGTTGCCGAATTCCAACATAACGAGATGCGAGAGGAAATTGGGAATCTGCGAAAACGAGTCACCGAAAATAAGATGGACGTTGAATCGCTGATCAATCTGATCCGAAAAGAGAACGAGCTGGCAGTGCTGGAAGCGTCCCATTCGATTCCGAATTTTCAAGATTTGGCTGAACGACAATTGACTTATGTCGAGAAAATGCGAAAGTTCAATGCGAGAAGTTCGATTTTGAGAATTATCGAAGTTGAGCTGATGCGGAAAGCCGAACGACCGCTAGATGAGATTGCAAAGTGAGTATTTAGGCGGAAAATTGCTGAAAAATGACCCAAAAATCGTTAAAAACGGCCCAAAATTGGTCAGAACAACCTAAAAATAGTCATTTTTTGATTCCTAGACCACTTGTCGGATCCTAGGCCATGCAATTTCTGACTGAAAAGTGCTGAAAAATGACCCAAAAATCGTTAAAAACGGCCCAAAATTGGTCAGAACAACCTAAAAATAGTCATTTTCTGATTCCTAGACCACTTGTCGGATCCTAGGCCATGCAATTTCTGACTGAAAATTGCTGAAAAATGACCCAAAAATCGATAAAAGAAGCCCAAATTATTTTATGGTCATTTCTGATTTCTTAGGGCCATCCAGCAGCTTCTTTTGTTTTGAGTTTTGAGTCTTTTTTAGCTGAAAATTTATGAAAAATGGTTTTAAATTTGCCCAAAAAAAAACAAAAACAGCCTAAAAGTTGCTCTAAACCGACTAAAAACTGCCATTTCGTTGAATTTTTTGAACTTTTCAGACGTTTTTCGACTGATATTGACTGAAAACTGACTTCACAAGTCGTTTGAAATGGTTCAAAATATCCCTAAATAGTCAAAATAGCCAAAAAAAATCGGCATTTCTGTGTTCCTCGGCCACGTGGTGTCGGATCCTAAGCCAGCTAGCCAGACGTTTTTTGGCTGAAATTACCTTTAAATATGGGTTCGAATGATCCGAAATTGCTCTCTTAATAGCCTAGAAAAGTAATCCTACACGGCTCTAAAAATTCGCTTGCTGCTGCTCGGGCTAAAAAAGGCTTTAAAAAAATGCTATTTTTGACTGAAAATATGCTATTTCCGGTTAAAAATCCATGGAAAATGACCTAAAAATGGTCATTTTTGTCTTCCTAGGCTACTGGTGTGGTTCTTCTGTCTGAAAAAATGGCTTCAAAAGTATTAAAATTGACTAAAAATTGACCGAACGCGCTCGAAAAGTTGACTGAAAATACATCAGTGTTTTTGCTGCTGAAAAATGACCCGAAAATTGTTGTAAAAGAACAAAATGGTTTTTTATCCTACAAATTCCCCAAAATCCCAATATTCAATGTTTCGCAGAGCCTACCGCTCGCTGCTCCATGAATTTCCACACGATCCAATGGTTTGGTGGAGTCAACTAGACTATCTACAGTACGATTCGAATGTCTATTCGTTTGAAGGACTACGAGACGTCTTCTACAAATGTCTGAATACGATTCGGAATTTGGCGACGGGCGGTAAGTAAAAATGGTTTAAAATGGGCTCAAAATGCTCCATTTTCAGTCGTTTTAATCGAAAAAATCCAAATTCTAGGTATGCAATCACATGCGAATCGAATCGCCGATATGCCGCAATTCAAGCTATTCTATTTCATCGTTTATCTGCGATTCTTGAAGTGGATTATGCATTGTGGATTGACACCGGTTGCTTTAGCCAATGTTCAGGTGAGAAAAATGATCCAAAAATTATAGAAAATGACCCAAAAATCATGAAAATTGGCTCAAAAATCATGAAAATTGGCTCAAAAATCATGAAAATTGGCTCAAAAATTATGAAAAATGGTCCAAAAATCATGAAAAATGGTCCAAAAATCATGAAAAATGGTCCAAAAATCATGAAAAATATCACAAAAATCATGAAAAATGGTCCAAAAATCATGAAAAATGGTCCAAAAATCATGAAAAATGGTCCTAAAATCATGAAAAATGGTCCAAAAATCAAAAAAATTAACCGAAAAATGATTAAAAATCGTCCAAAATAGCTCCAAAAGTCCCCAAAAGTTCACTAAAAATCATGGAAAATTACTCGAATAGACCGAGAAATTGGTTCAAAACCATAAAAATCGATCTTTATGGGTTTTCGATGTCATTTAAAGCCGAAAAACCACGGTTTTTCGATATTTTTCAGCTGAAAATGGTCCGAAAATATGAAAAATGATAAATTTTGACTGAAAATTCGTCTGTAAATCGATTTTTGGGTCATTTTTCACAAATTTCAAGCTAAAAATTACCTAAAAATGTCGAAAATCGATTTTCCAGGGGTCAATGGAGTACAGATTCGGTTTCATTGAGCCAGTCGACAAGAAACAAAATCGCCAGCACCTTTTCAATGAGTACTGGGATATCAAAATTCCAAGAATCGGAGATCCAGGCGGACAAGGAATGGAGGTGTTTCTATCGGTGAGTTGTTGGATTGTTTTGGCTGGAAATTGCTTGGAAATCCTTAAAAAAATGGATTCCAATTATCGAAAAATGTCGCCAGAACTCATGGAAAATAGACCGAAAAGTAGCGAAAAACAATCGAAAATCACATAGAAATAGGTCCAAATAGCGGTGGTCCGCCGTTGATCCGTTTCGGCACTATTTGAACTTTTTTTCCGAATTTTAGATTTCCTGTTGATGATCCTGAAAATAGACAAATTTCCCTTCATTTCTGCTCAAAAAAGGCCATTTCTAGCGCTTCTAGGAGCCAAGGTACGGTAATTTGAAGTCACAGGAAGCTAGAGACGCAGTGTGTCTCGTCGTCTGGCGTCTCTAGCCTCTGAAACTTCAAATGGCTCTATCTCGGCTTCTAGGTGAGCTAGAAAGTTGGTTGCTGGATAGTCTTGGCTGAAAATGACCAAAATTTCTAGTCAACCCGGCTGAAAACGATCAGAAAATGCTTAAAATCACACCCAAAACACCCAAAAGTGGGGATTTTCTCCAGCAAAACCAAACCAACCTCAACCCAATCTCAGAATTGACATTTTTTGAAATCGTTTAGTTTCAAAACATTCTCTTTGAAAATTTTCACATTTCTGTCTCATTTTCACTTTTCTAGCTCATCTAGAAGCTGAGATACAGTCATTTGAAGTTTCAGGAGGCTAGAGACGCAGAGTGTCTCGTCGTCTGGCGTCTCTAGCCTTTGAATATACTATCAGGGTGTTCCTCAACTCCAAATGGTTATATCTCGGCTCCTAGAAGAGCTAGAAAGTCAATTCTTGAACAGAATTGCTCGTCCTGGCTGAAAATGATCATATATATATATATATATATATATATATATATATATATATATATATATATATATATATATCTAGTCAAACTTGCTTAAAATGGCTTGAAATAGGCTCAAAAATGACTAAAATCACACTTAAAACACCTAAAAATTGGGATTTTCTCCAGCAAAACCAGACGAACCTCGATCCAATTCAACACGAATCGTCTGAAATGGAGAGATGGTCGTTCGACGCGTACCAAGCGCTGGAAATCCTCCATAAGCAGTGCCAATCGGAAGAGGCGAATTGGGTGGAATACGAGCGGAAAATGCAGAATTTGGATTGTCGAGTGAAGCGGAACGAGTACCAAATTGATGAGTATATCGATTTGGAGCCAATCGACATGTTCGGCAATGTGATGGCCGAGGATTTGCACATTTTCAGTGAGATTGATGACTATACGGTTATGGATTGGACACAACCGATGTTGGAGATGTTGGGAGTCAAGTTTTTGCACTCGGTGGGTGGAAAATGGGCTGAAAATAGCGGAAAATGAACCCACCTGAGCTTGAAAATCGTTGAAAAACGCTACGAGTACCATAGTTACCATAGTCACCATAGTCACCATAGTTGCCATAGATACCATAGTTACCATAGTGACACAGCGCCATAGTTACCATAGTTGCCATAGTTACCAAAGTCACCATAGTTATCATAGTACCCCATATCCCATACCATAGTGCCATAGTTACCATAGCTACCATAGTTACCATAGTGTCATAGTTACCATATCGACCATAGTTACCATAGTTATCACGAGTACCATGGCTACCATAGTTACCATAGCTATCATAGTTGCCATAGTACCCCATATCCCATGCCATAGTACCATAGTTTCCATAGGTGCTCAGAACCTTCAGAATTAGATTAAAAATGATCCAAAAATCGTCTCGAAATCGCTGTAATCGATTCCTAATTTGACTTCTGCAGGCTTTTTGGATTGCTCAGCTTAAGATTTTGCACTCTTTGGCCACTTTTTGGCTTGAAAAAACCGAAAAATTCTGTCTGAAATCGGTTGGAATCGGAAGCGGAGCAATCAGAAGCGATTTCATTAGCGTGTGCTCATGGATTACTGTAGATTTTGGATTACTGCTGATTTTCGGGTTACTGTAGATCTAGAATACCGTATTCTGGAGTAAAAAATTGCATGGGTACCAGTAACCATAGTGCCATAGTTACCATAGTTACCATAGCTATCATAGTTACCATAGTTGCCATAATTACCATAGTTATCATAGTACCCTATATCCCATACCATGGTACCATAGTTACCATAGTTATCACGAGTACCATAGCTACTATAGTTGCCATAATACCCTACACCCTATATCCGATACCATAGTACCATAGTTTTCACAGGTACCAAAGCTGAGCAATCAGAAGCGAATATCTTTTTTTTTGGTCCACAAATGATTGCTCAGCCAAAAATATTGGCTCAAAAAACCTCCTTCTGAACTCGTTAGACCCCATTGCTCATCCTTAATTTCCTTGCAGTCCGGTTGCTTCACCACGACGGAACACGTGATTTCCGAATGGATTCAACGGGACATCTTCAAACAATCCCTACCGAATTTCCCCGAAACTCCCGCATACACCGAACCGACTACGGTAGCCGTCGGAATGCGAATCCTTCGATTCCTTCTGAATCGACGTCATCAGGAGGTGCTGAAGACGTCAACGACGACGGTGACGAGGGACGATTCAATGATGAAGTACCTGTTGGCAACCGTCGAGATGAACGCCAAGGACATTGAAAACGCTCCGGGTTTCGAGTATTTCAAGATTAAGGTGAGACCATAGTTACCATAGTTACCATAGTACCATAGTACCCCATATCCCATAACATAGTATCCAAAAGTACCATATCTACCATACTACCACAGCTTACAATAGTTACCATAGTACCATGGTTTCAACAAGTGCCATAGCTACCATAGTCGCCATAGTGTCATAGTTACCATAGCTACCACACTACCATAGTTACCATATCACTTCATATCTCATGCAATAGTACCATAGTTATAATGGTCACAGTAGTTACCACAAGAACCATAGCATGATAGCTACCATAGTTACCATATATGCACTATATTTACCATAGTTGCCATAGTTACCATAGTACCCCATATCCCATACCATAGTACCATAGTTTCCACAAGCAATAGGGTAGCTATGGTACTTGCGGGAACTATGATACTACGGTATGGGATACGGGGAACTATGGTAACTATGGCACCATGTCACTATGGTAAATAAGACAACTATAGTAACTATAGTGCCCTTTAAGAAAAATTGATACCTTAGTACCATAGTTTCCACAAGTACCATAGTTACCATAGTTGCCATAATCTCCCCTGTTACCCCATACTGTTACCCCATTAAAGCTGAAAAATACGATTTTCAGTTCGATTTCAGCCATTTTCAGCTCTAAAAAAACCCCCCATTTTTTTCCAGCAAAAAACGGTGCTCTCACTGCAACAGCTAACAAAAGCCGACATAAATCTCTATAAAACGGGAAATGATTATGTGATTCAAGCGATGTCCCTCCATGCAACACTAAAAATGACACAGTGGTTCGAGCGGGCTGTGGCTGAGCAATCGGAGCTGCTCAGACTGCAAGGGTTGTCTGATGAAGCTCGCGAGAGCTTCAAGGCGCTTCTGGATAAGTATCGAGTCGAGAAAAAGGATATTGATGGGTTGGCCTCGTGTAGGGTGAGTTTTTGACTGAAAATTGGCTGAAAATTCCCAAAAATTCCAGATTTTCAGCTAGAATTTTACAAGAAAACGCGATCTTTAAACTTGAAATTTAGCCTTTTTAGCTTCAAAATGAGCTATATAGCGAGCCATAGTACCATAGTTACCATGGTTACCATGGTTACCATAGTACCCCATATCCCATGCCATAATACCATAGTTTCCACAAGTACCGTAGTTACCATAGTTAGCGATTTTTTGGCGATTTCAGTGATTTTTGACGTTTTTCTAACTTTTCGGGTTACTGTAGCTTTATTAGATTACTGTAGATTTGTTTGTTGTTTTCAGACGTTCATTTGGAAGATGATCGACAGTCTCGTCGAATCGTTGAATCAGCAGGATGGCGGCGGCAGCGTCTCGACGAATATCAAAAATCCGTCGATACCGTATCCAGTGCTTCAACTCGTGCTTTTCGCCAAAATTTTGAAGGTAAATGGGTGGAAAATTTTGGAAAATGGTCTAAAAATCATGAAAAATGACTCGAAAATCATGAAAAATGGCTCAAATGCTCTATTTCCAGCCATTTTCAGCTTGGAATGGTTGAACATCGCTGAAACAGGAGCTGAAAATCATGATTTTTGTGGCTTTGGAGCTAAAAAAATGACGGAACAATGAGCATTTTGAGCCAATTTGGGTCACTTTCCACGATTTTTAACAATTTTGGACCATTTTTCATGGTTTTTGAGTCCAAAAATCATGAAAAACGACTTTAAACGTTATTAAAAAAGATGCGAAAATCACGAAAAATGGTCCAAAAATTATGAGAAATCATGAAAATGGTCCGAAAATGACCTAAAAATCATGAAAAACGGACCATTTTTCAGGATTTTTGGACCATTTTTCAGGATTTTTGGACCATTTTTCATGATTTTTGGACCATTTTTCATGATTTTTGGACCATTTTTCAGGATTTTTGGACCATTTTTCATGATTTTTGGACCATTTTTCATGATTTTTGGACCATTTTTCATGATTTTTGGACCATTTTTCAGGATTTTTGAATCATTTTTCAGGATTTTTGAGCTAAAATTTGAACTTTCAGGCCCGCCAATACGTCTCCAGCGACGCCGTAGCTGCTCAAATCCGTATCGCACTGGGAAAAGAGATTCTAGAGGAAAACGACGATGACACGGTGAGAATGTACGATAAACGAGGTATACTGTATCGTGAAATGATTGGATCACTGCTGGATCAAGTACAAATGCTCACAGAGAGGGACGAGTATGAAGAGACGCAGGGTATTCCGGAATTCCCGCGGGTTGGAGCACTGTGCACCGCGTTGCACTGGGCCGTCGAGTTTATTTTTTGTGAGTTTTTTTCGGGGTTGGAATTTGGCTGAAAATGAGCCTAAAACAGGCTTAAAATAGTCTAGAAACAGGCCAAAAAAGGGTTAGAATGGACTGGAAATAGTCCGAAATAGGCTCTGAAATTAACTGAAAATGAGCTGAAAATTGGCTAAAAGTAGTCTGAAAAATGGGCTGAAAATGGTCGGAATTTGGCTGAAAATGAGTTAGAAATAAGCTTTAAAAATAGGCTGAAAATAAGCTAAAATAAGCTAAAAATAAGCTTTAAAAATAGGCTTGAAATTAGCTGAAAATGGGATTTAAATAGGCTGAAATTGAGCTAAAAATAGGCTAGAAATAGTATAGGCTCTGAAATTGAAAATTTGAAAATCCGGTTTTTTGCAGTGAAACAGAACAAGGAGCCGCGTAAGACGCTGAACAACGCCACCAAATCGCTTCTGGAGAAGTTCGACGTGTTCGATGAGAAGCAGAAGGATTGGAATCGAGGAGACACGGAGAAATACAGGGATCGAGTGGATATTCAGGTAGGAATACGGTACTTTTTAAGGCTTTTTGAGAGGTTACGGTACTTTTGGGATATATGATCTTGGGTCTTGAGGCTCCTTGAAGGATCTGGGGCTCTAGGCTCTTCGAATCTCTTTCTTCTTGGTGCTTTTTGAGAGATTACGGTACTTCTTGAACGTTTCGGCCTGGGATCTTTGGGATCTAGAGATTACGGTACTTTTTGGCCAACGAATTTAGACCTCTCCGGAACTGGGTTCTATGGATTACGGTACTTTTTGGGCGTTGTGTGTAGGTATAGAGTACTGTAGAGCGGTTTATTGGGTATTGGATACTTTTAGCATCTCTGGTATCTATCGATTTTCAAGGGCGCGCAAGATCATATAACCTGGGAACCAAGGGATCTAGGATCTCTAGGATCCAGGATCTCTGAAAGCTAGGATGCTAGGATCCAGAAGAGCTGGGATCTAGGAGCTAGGATCTCTGGAATCTCTGGGATTCAGAATCTAGGAACTAGGATCCCAACGCTTTCCTAAGCTTCCGCGACATTTTAGAACTGCGACATTTCAGAACCGCGACGTTTTAGAACTGCGACGTTTCAGAACTGCGACATTTTAGAACTGCGACGTTTCAGAACTACAACATTTTAGAACTGCGACATTTCAGAACCGCGACGTTTCAGAACCACGGCATTTTAGAACTGCGACGTTTCAGAACTGCGACATTTTAGAACTGCGACGTTTCAGAACTACAACATTTTAGAACTGCGACATTTCAGAACCGCGACGTTTCAGAACCACGGCATTTTAGAACCACGACATTTTAGAACTGCGACGTTTTAGGACCGCGACGTTTCAGAACTGCGACATTTTAGAACTGCGACATTTCAGAACCGCGACGTTTCAGAACCGCGACATTTTAGAACCACGACGTTTCAGAACTGCGACATTTTAGAACTGCGACGTTTCAGAACTACAACATT